TTAGTAATCAATAATATATTAGAATAAATTACATGTACACATATGCCATTTATTTAAATAAAAACATTTTTTTTTTCTCAATACGATACCGACCTTTCTTTTTATAAGCACTCTTCTAATATTCCTAGTATGTTTTCCACTACACTGTGTGTCACTTCTAAGAGCGAATTGACAAATTTCTTCACCAAGTTTTTTCTTTAGTTATTCGAAATCTTGAGGTTTTTTTTTAATCTCAAAAGCACATTGTTTTCAACTCCATTGTTTCGTATTTACTAAATGGTGTATTGTCTTTAAACTAATAATATTTAGTGAGAGTTCTTATATAATATTATCGGAAGTCGAGCAAACCTTTTTTTTTAATCAGCCGTTTCACTGTCCCTGTATATATTATTATAGGGAGATGTGCAGGTGTGCCGTGTATACTGTATACATTGTGATTTGTTATGGGCTATTAAACTGATATATGAGAACACTCAATTAATTTTTTTTCCAACGTTGTCATACCTATTTAGTATTTAATAGCATTTATCCAACGATTGAGCACAATAAATATTATACTGGTCTAAATAAATATCGATAACCTTCGTCGGTTCGAGTCCCGGCCGCGGGCGGCATCGCTCTTTGGGCAGGCAACTGTTTAGATAGCCATCCCCCAACCGGCCACCTGGTATGGCAGAAGCCAACGGGTGCTCAATTAGAAATTCTGCCAAAAAGGCGTCCGAACTAGGCCTACAGCTTACTCCCGAACAGTAGCAGCATACGAAAAAAAATATGTATTAACTCATTATTTATATTCCCATATTTCTTATAATATTTATAACTATAACACAATCATCGTTCAAATGTAAATGTATTATGTATAGACCATCCTTTACACAATGATATTAAGGATTAGCTGTGAGTGTACCTACGTACCTGCTCACCACAAATAGTTCTTATTTAAACGCCTAGCTATATAAACCGTGTAGAAAAACGTACCTAATTAAAAAGCCTTGATCAACTGCAGTCAATCATAATAATTGATAAGTATTATTGTTTATTGCAGAATATAGGTAGTATTTGCATTGAACTAAAATAATTTAATACGCTGATGGGGGAGATGTATTAAGGTAAGTAAATTGGTTTGTTAATTTAATTATTTAAGCTTTATTTTTAAAAAAAAAAGTGAAGTTCATATCCTCCTAAAATCCAACTAAATCTCCGCCTATGAGTTGTTTGTCACTATCATATATTATTATAGTTTTGAGGGTGTGTCTGTGTGCAGTTGTGAGTTTGTGACCTTATAAACTAATTTTAAAACAATACAAATAACCACGGTCCTAAAAACAATTCTAAACGGATCTCGAAGGTCGAACCCACGCTATTAAAAAATGCTATTGGTTGTCGGTAAAGTACACCTACGTATTTTGAGACTATGTCGGAAAATTTAAAAAGACCTGTTTAAAATAACACACTACTGGTTGACTATCATTAAGGTGGTACATGAAAATGTTCGTTGAAAAAATCTAACTTATCTACTTTATTGTTCATTATTAAAAAAATTAAAAAATTTGTTGCAAAGTTACCCAGGGGTTGAGTTTTCTTTGCACCACTACTAAAAATTGCTCGGTATACAATATCAGTGTAATATCCGTAAAAATCATCATTATTGTCATTTGGCATTATATATATGTCTATAAGTAGCATGATATTACATAGCATATTTTTAACCCTAAACGGCTTTCAGTTCGACTTTGGTTCTTTGATTTTTTTTTCACTCCACGGCGGTGTATGTAAGACGGCGCGAAAACGCGTGCGTGTATATTATGATATTGTTGTACCCGAGTTTAATATCGCCATCAAATATTTATAAGCCGTGCATAAAATGTTTTGGTTTTTTTTTTGCCCGCAAAATGTTTACGGACGCGTGATAGAAATACTACCTACATATTTTGTTTGTATCCAGCGCAGTGTACATAATATATATTATATATTATGTTATATATACATGCGTTCCGACGCTAAATTAAATTTTCCATTTTTTTTTTTTTCGTACCAAGTTTACGCGTATGTTCATAAAAATGTCGTATACCTTTCGGACGCCATCGGGGCGGTAAAGCGCACAAAAACCAGCAGCTATATACATAGATTAGATACCTATAGGTATATCTATATATAATATAAATGTTATATATCGGAGACGAACCAAGCCTCGAGGATGAACGCGGTTTATTTCTTCGTTCGTTTTACAAATCTCCGAGTCCTTCTCACTCGCACGACCACTAAAATAACAGCACCTCGATGACGTTTATATTGCGAGAACAGAGCACCCTCCTAAACAGTGTATAATATATTAATATTAATTATTTTCTAGTTATTATTATATAGGTTGCTAATAACACGAGAACCACGTGGGATGACGACGTCAACAATAATGGTCCTATAATCACTGTTTATAGGTAGTATACCTACCCATATTGTATACTGTATTTTTGCAATTATTCCAATTGTGTACTTATGATTTCCGGACAAGAACGGCCGCGGCCTGCGGAGCAAATTAAAAACAATCGGTATAACGTTTGTACAGACGACGATCCCGTGGCGTGTATAATATAAAAGCACTTATCCTAATTAAACGGCGTATAATCCCTTTTAAATAACGTATAATTTTACCGTCGTCGTCCTCCTCCCGCCGTCGCGCATCGTCGACCAGGTGGTAATTACGACAAAACTTCACGTCCCCCCCTCATCGCCTCCCAGTGCGACATCGGACAGCGACAACTATATAAGTATAAACGGTCACTTTGCGAGCATTCATACGCAATAAGCACCTATTATATTATAATATACACATATATACACGGGTTGTAACGGTCGTCGTAGCTCGGGTTTAATTTGAAACAAGTGCACGCAAAAATAATATAATAATTATCGTTATATTTGTTTACTTATAATATAATATATTCTATAAATTGTACATAATATATTTTACATTCCCCTCTCTATGTATAGCATAATGTCTCCCTATAAGATTTATACTTAATAATGATCATAATGACCTGTGATGTTGGAGCCTTTTTATCCAAATAAAAAAAATATATATATATATTCTATAAGCTTATTATTTAGTATGTGTACAAGATACAAATGTACAATAAAAAAAAAAAAAAAATTAAAAAATATAGTAGGTACATTTAGTATACTGTAATCATTAGTTGTCCATAGTATTTATAAACAATGGTTATAGGTATACAAAAAAAATATAGTATTACAAATCACAACAGGGTCGCTTCGTATTATAAGTAACAGATAGTTTAAGAAACGAGACCAAAAGAGGTGTAAAAGAACGTCATTGGACCAGGTCACATCTTATAATAGGTTATTACACTTATTATTTATCAACTTTAGTTGCCTATCTATGATACGGTATTCAGTGATTTATTAGTGCGCTTAATTGCACTGCTTATATTTAGTACCTACTGGGCCCATATAGGTACACACATGAATGAGAAAAGCGGGGAGTGGAGACGCAGAGAAAATAAGTTATGCAAATTGTATAGCAAAACGAAAAAAAAATAAAGTAAAAGCTGACAAATTTATCGATCATATACGCGCGTGCATGTATCGGCGTATCACACGTGTAAAATCGAAAAATGAGCTCAAGTTTCGCCAAAAAATCAGCATATTTAAACTGATCGGTGAAATATGTAGGTACACATTCGAAGATTTTAATACGTAATCGGCTACACTTTCACGCTCCCTTGCCGCACGCATGCATAATATGTACATAATATATATATGTGTGCACTTATAAAATATTTAAATGACTTATAAGTCGGCTTCGTGGAAATCCTCCGAGGCGCCGCGCTTTTACGGGAATTGAATTGCCCGTCCGTTTTGCGTTCCGATGATACGTGTACGAAAAAAAACACGACAGATTGCGATTTTCTCGTTTCGAAATAGAAAACTACGCGATTTATTATACCGGTGCGCGGTGTCGATACAACAGGCATATTTTACACGGACTGAAATAACCTTAGCCTCTATCCTGTCCCAACAGCGTACCCCTACACTGCTTTTACATTATATACTTCAGTGACGTATCCCGCAAGCTCGGTCCAGGAAGGAGGTTATAACATTGTGTTTCATATACGATGTTCTTGATACCCGCTTATAGGGCTCTCACTCCACACGTGAATTAATTCCTTGAATTTTTAATTGTATTTAATTCTAATTGTACAGTGGTGTTATTATAGACACAATATTAATAATACGTTAAAAAAATGTCCAACTCCAAAAATATGCAATCCACACCCATCAAATACATGATATACTTAATTGATACACCCACAGTTAGACTAGTACCGAAAAACGTGAAATGTTCAATGACGTGTGTTATATCGTAGGTAGGTAGGTAGGTACTAATAAAAACAATTTTTAATACATGTACGATATAGTGCATATTTCGGGTATAATCTAAATTACTGACGGTTAGTGATAATTAAAAGGTGCTGATTGCTAAAGGAAGACCCACGATTAACGTGCTTTTAACACGCAATATAAGTTATATTATAATAGGTTATATGATATAACCTATTAGTTGATTGTTCCGTATACGTAACTTTTTGCTTTGATCTCAAAACAACTAAACACTAAGTTATAATAAATGCATATTATACGTAAACCTTATACATATTATATAAGATATACTGCATATAGTAGACACCTATATGCCTATAAAATATATATTATATATGAGAGATGGACTTATGTCTGTAAATAATTAAAACTGTAGCTGCGGAGTCTTAATATAAAAGTACTGATTTACTAAAACACTTAGTTGTGAAAACAGAATAGTAAAAAATATATCTTAAAACACAATATTATACATGATGTATCCGTTAACTTATAAAATAATACTACATGTTAAAATAATAAATTACATAATACTTAATACAAATATATGATTTTATAAAAATCAGATCTTGGGTTGAGCAGTGTTGTAAAAAAAAAATAAAAAATCACGCCTCCATGAGCAGGGATCTGACTGTTTTCGATGTAGACGGGTCGTTTAGATGAGCTGTGGTGTACCTATGCGGAGAAAATAAGCAAAAGGTTATCAACAGTTATCATTATTGTTGTTTTAGACTTTAGAGGTATATAGCGCCTAGATTCCAGGCTCCCCGTCTCATTACCTCAGTGCGTTCAACAGGTTTTCAGTCTGAAACTCTTCCGGCTGGTCTTTAAGCAGCCGTACGCAACCTTTAATGTCTATGTTGGAAGTCTTGACGAACGCTCCGTTTGGGTGCACGTGGTCGTACAGTATGATGAGGCCGACTAATACGCGAAGCATGAAAAGGTGAGTTTCCTGTTTTCTGAACTGAACCGTACTGTGGAACACACATTACAGTTTTAATAACAACACGTTGTGATTATAATAAAATGCTATCTAGGAAGTGAATATGACTTACGGTGTTTCCAACATGCGTATGCACACTTTTACCATGGTACTTAACATATCAATGGCATAGTCAACGAGCCGTTTATCCTGAAAATACAGAAAAACAAATGTTGGCGTGACGAGTAAATACTTGATTGGAACGGTTATTGCTGGAATGACAAACTGTCGCAATGAATTATGATGAAAGTTTAGAAAAGCAAAAATGTTCCATTGGTTAAAAAAAAAATATATATTATGTAGTGCTATATAATAAAATAATTATTTGTAGTTCGTTTTATTCTAGGTTATCCCGCGATGACACTTTACATTGTCTACCGGTAAAATGTTCAGATTGAATAATGCAAAACATTTTGACTCCTGTATAATATAGATTAGTAGGTAGTTTTAGTTACTTTGTTCAAAAATTGTGAAGTAACATTTGACAGTGTTCTCAACATTGGCGTTGCTTCTGCGTAGAACAAGGACACTTTGTTGGCAACGTTTAAATTGCTGTTAGAATCTTCATCTTGGTCCGTGAACGAATGCACTGATGCACCTTCACGCATCAACACTCGTCTGTAATAGCTAAAGTCGTTTTGAATCGCTGGTGTTCTCATCTGAAATTTGAAAACAATGAAATTGCTCAAACAACTTTTAATAAAGTTTTCCGACGAAATGCTGCCAACGACAGTATACCTTGTATTCATCGAACTTCAACACAAACTCAATGATCTCGGAAAATTGTTTGACTAGAGCTTGTTGATTTTCTAGGTGTAACGATGGGGTTATATCATCTGAACATATTTCAGTTAGAATTTGAGGTACAACGAAAGCTGGAAAAAAGTGTGTTTTAATTAACTTTATACGGAATTCAAAAAAAGGCCGAAAAATCTCCCAATATCAGGTTTAACTAAAAAATATGAGGTTTACAATGCAAATTGCATATAATTTAATGATTTTAAACGAAATAAATAATTATCAAAATAAAATTGAAATAATCCAAAAATTATTAAATGAATTAAAAACATTTACTTATAAAATTATTATGCATTTATACATACTAATTATTAATAACTGTGTAATTTAATTATGGATTTTTCAGTTAAAATATTAGATATAAACAATTATTTTACAAACATTTTAAAAAGTTGATTATAATCAACTATACTAGTCGGAGTAAATCACCATAATATGGTTAATATTATTATACACAATAAACGAGTAACAACACTGTCTAAACTAACTAAAATGCAGTTACTTATAATAGCATTGATTTTATAACATTAACACTGGGCAAATATAAAGATATAATGTATGAAGTGGATTCAAATAATACGATAATCATAGTAATGTGGTTATTAGAACACAAAGCATTGTTAGATCGGAAACTATACCCACTAGTATTAATTATTATAGTTAGGTAGTACACAAAACGACGGTATACCACATTCTGGGAGATAGCTCAACAAATAATACGATATCTCTAAATCAGAAAATGTTTATAATAACAATTATTACGACATTATTATTTATCTTTTTTAAATTTAAATATAAATATAGTTGTAATTATACGTGGTTTATTTAATGTATGTTAAATAACTTCAATTTTAATTGATTATGAAATTTAAAACATTTTAAAATCAATATTTTTATTTTAGATTTGTAACGACAAAAACTGGTTTACATTTTTTGAAAACGAAAGTTGTATTAGTTTTGTAAAAAAATGGGGAAGTCGATTAGTTGTCGATTGTCGAGTGTTTCTCGTCATTGAATAGGTATAGGTAGGTACGTAACTGTAATGGATGTGTTAAATTTTAATTTGATGTAAATAATTTCATACGAAGAGCCTATAGCGGAGACGGTCAGACGTCTCATTATTACAAAATATATTTAGGTTTATTGTTATTAGTAATTTATGGTATTATTAGTATAACACGATAGTTTGAATTAATTTTGCAAAAAACAAAGCATTTATTATATTATTAATTGCTATGATATTTTATATTTATATAACATGTTATTTTTATTAACTTTAATCACTCCACTCAGAATTATGAGGCTATAATTGCATCACTAGCAGAACCACTGTCATTAATGAATCATTATGTAGAATTATTGATAATATTATGTATAGTATTATTTATATTTGTCATACGATTAGTGTCGATTATCGATTATTATAATCAATTATCATAAAAAACTATGAACAAATTATAACTTGATTTTTCGTTTATAATGTTCAAAATATTAATAATTAATAATATTTTACTTACCAATTTTTTGTGAGAAAAAATAGAATCGTCTCAAAGTGCGAATTCGAGGCATCAACGCTTCCCATGTCAATGCATTTTGTTCGGCACTTGGGTTATTAATCGCTGCTCGTATGTATTGGTCAGCGCCCAAGTAATGTTTGAGGTCGGAAAGCACGTCAGAGGCCTCGGTAAGCACGATTTGGACCTCGTCAAATAGTTCCATTTCACTTTCAGTAGGTTGGGCATCTAAAATGTTAAATTAAATGAAACATTAATTTGTTCTAATTTATAAATGTCATCGGTCAAAGTTGATCACATAATTGGTGTGATAATAATAATAAAAAAAACATTAGTGCGATACGCGTTTCTCAAATATAATGCAGACAATATAACGCGTATGCAACGCAAAGTCTGTTAAAATAATTTATAACTAGGTTATAATTATTAGCAACGATTGTTCAATACTCATAAATTACAATAGTATAATAATTAATATTAACATATGTTTAAAAAAAAAACCACTAACAACCTGAATCATTTAAATGACTAATATATCGTAATAAAGAAAGTCGGTAACACATATTATAACGTCATCCAATAGTTTTGGTGAAATCATTTTTGCTACCTAGCTGATCTTATTAAATAAAATATTTTAAAGCCAATGCGCTAAAAAAATATCGTTAAACGGATTTGTTTATTCTTATAAAATTAATATAAATACTCATCATCCATGTAAAAAAAAAGGATTTTAACTTGCTTCACCATTGTATTTTTATATTACATATAAGATCGTAATTAAGAAGACGTCGTATTATATAATTATAAAAATATATTGAATAAAAAAGATAGTTTAGAAATTCCGATAATGCTATAAGTACGTAAGGTTACACTCAACTTAACTTAATATTTAAATACTTATAGAAAGTTACATGTTAGTTACTTTAAGGGAAGTGGTTTTAAAAAATATTATGCAAACAAAAACTTGTTAAATTTAATAAAATTATTTTTTTACGGCAGTTGATACTTGATACTACTTAGGTAAGTATATTCATTTTTATAACCAAATGTACATATTTCATAAAAATATTTGTTCAATATTGCTACTTTCTATAGGTTTTTGAATAATATTTCTCAGATAATAGTCACTATACTACTAAATGTACTGAAATATTAAATGATTACCTCAAATTATATGGAGAAAATTAATACAAGTTTCAATATTTGTCAACAACGCTAGAGCCCATACCTACGTTTAATGAAAAAATAAATTACAATATTATAATAACTTACAAAAATTGCTTCTAAATAATTATGTTCTTTTGTATTCATTATGTTTCAACATATTAAAATCAAAATAAACCGTGACAATACTTCTAAGTCTCGATTTAAAAACCAAGTAAATGGGGAAAAAACGTTTGCTAATGTATGCAGTGAATTTAAATAAAGTTTGTAACAACTCCTTTAAGAGGTACCTAATGAAAGTCCATTCTGAACATTTTATTTGATGTCAAAACTTTACGTTTTACAGTATTTAAAAGTTTAAATTATTTAAGCACTTCAACAGTTCAAACTACTTTTTAAGTTGATTTTTAATAATAATGAAACATTAGAGGGCTAATTAATTATGTATTCTTAAGTAGATATAGTCTGAGAAATTAAAAAAATCAGTAGAAAAGTAACAATAGTTTTCAAACCAAAAAAAAATATGATACAAAAATTAAAGTTACATATTATAGGTACCTTACAATAAAAACATTAAACTGCACGCACAATGTTCCATAAATAATGTAATACCCAAATTCACCGATGAAGGATTATAAATTTATAATATTCTAGTCAGTGTCTACTTGCTATTGAATACATACTTATTAGTTATAAGTACTTATAACCCTCAAATTAATTGTTTCTATTTTTTTTTGAATTGGTTGGCTATATGCGTGCATAAGGTTACATATTGGGAAAGTAAAATCTTGTAACATGTTAAACATTTGTAAGGGCATTTTTCCATCAGATTTTTAACTACATTTACATTCGAATATATGAACGATATGACATGACGTTGTTTCTTTGCCATCGTATAATATAATATGTTCTAAAACAAAAAAGAATGCATAACATCATGACATACCTTCGAAAATTTTAAATTAGATTTGTTACCTAGTGGATTCCATTTTACCAAGCAGTTTTCTAGTCATACAATATATTTGAATTTATTTATGATTTTCTTTTCCCAAACGTCCGACAGGACACAACGGGTCAATCGAGAGCCGACACATATTAATTTGTTTTTATATAAAAGATTACAAACAACAATTTTTAATTACTTTACGGCGGTTTTCTATAGAAAACTTTGAAGTCATTACAATTAAATTAAAATATTAATAATAAACAGGTAGGTAATATACTTACTTTCAAAATCTAAAAATATGTCGTATTTCTGTTGAGCAGAACAGCAACTATTCTCATCTCGAGCTAACAGGCTCAATAGTTTTCCCATTATTGTAGACCGACAGCAGCAGGCTAAGTTCATCAACAGTTCCAGTACTAGTCAAATACTCTGTGAAAACATTTTTATTATACTGTTAGTAAAGTTTTGCAGCCCTAAACTATTCTTAAAGAAGAAAAAAACAAACTCTTATTCGGAAATCGGCGAACCGATAAACATCTTGTTAAAAGGAAGCCGAGGTTTTTGGGAAACAGAGTAGAAGAAACTGTTTGCGAACAAAAGTTATCGTAAATCATGGCTGGAATAGATTATTTAAACGAGACGACGTTCCACGGTATTATTCTTTTATATGTACAGTACATAAGTCATAAGTATTTTTTACAAGTGTTTCTCATTGACAAAAACCATACCAGCGACACGATGGTTATAGACGCAATGGGAAGTGCACAATGAGATTTTTTTCTTTAATTTAAATTATATACTACTTATAGTACCTATGCCTATATTTCAATGTTAAATTTTCAATTACGATTCGAAACTCAAAAAATATTATGAAGTAAGCCCGTTAATAGCATTTATAGAATATGAATAAATTATCTTAACAGTGTATTAGATGTCTATAATACCTATAAATTATACATATTATATACAGACATGCAGTGTATCCCAGTACAAACGTACAGTAGATGTGGCGTACCTATTGATAGTAATTTACTTAACTATTTTACGACTTGATAAGAAAAAGGTTTAATCAGTTTCTGTTTAATTTTCAACGAACATACTATTATGTAGCTCAACTTAGATTGATTGAAATTTGTAAATCAATTTGCATATACAAACACATCAAATAACAGTCATTATTTACGATTCAATTTGATTTCTTCAAAATCGATCTCATAACCAATATATTATTATACAAACACAATATGTCCCGTTTAATTATAATTTTCCGCCGCCGGGTTGAAATTAATGTTTTTATCTCCCTGCAAAGACAAACCCCGCAGCAGACACAGAGTTAGGTACCTTCAATCGTATATTAGTATATTATTTTATGATCTGCGACAACATACAAATAGGCATTTATATACATTATACGAATATTATATACCTAATATATTGTTATAATATACACGTTACAGATGCGTGGAGCGCACACCCTTATAGGTATTCACTATATTCAAGGTGTTGGAACAATATCGGAAATAATAAACCCCGCTGAGCTTTAAACAAAATACCCGGGTTTTATCGCCCAAAAGCCCAATTACGGAGAGACAACTTTTCGTCAAGTAAATGTCTATATAAACCGAACGCAAGTAGACAAATCCGGTGGGATGTAAACCGCTCGGCATATATACACACGGATACATCGGAGGAGGTATATCTATATAACACATACAGAAAAATTGTTTGCGACGACTCCAAATAATAATAAAAAAAAAAACAACTAAACTATAGGTACCATTATGTTACACAACTTAAAACGGTATAATCGTGTATGTGCATATTGTGTGTGTGGGTGCGCGTGTGTGTGACGTATGTGAGTGTGTGTAATTCGCGTAAGCTCAGACTAATAAGTTATATCTCGGCCGGGTTGCTCGCACGGTAATATAAATGTAAATATACGAGGTGCATACCTATAACACGTGTATATTGTATTTTATACATCGTAATATTTTATTTTTTAAATAGTGGATTTTTGAATAAACAGACGTAATATTTTCGTATCTCACGTATCGACCTCAAAATCAATGTATTATGTACCTAATGGCTAATAGTATCAAGTATCAACATCCAGCGCCGTCAAATTTAATGCAAAGCAAATATGCAATAAATCGTACTGCCTATTTATAATAAACGTGTATTGTTTTACACCGTTATTATTGCACTATTGAATTACGCATTGTATAATAACTATGTTAACGTTAAGAGGATGTCAGTACCCTATTCGTTTTCTCTTTCTGGCCCACATGCAATATAACAAATTTCCGTTCAGAAGATTCAATTTTGTGTTGTTATCCTTAATATTAGAATGGATTGATCAAATCCTTACAATCAAACTTAAAAGTAATAACGCCTTGTAGTTTTTTATTGATATTTTAATTTAAACGTGAGTTATAGTTTAGTTATATCTATGTAAAATGTTATAAAAGTTTTGCAATGCACGCTGCATAATTTGTTTTAAAATTGAAATATCAACTAAAGTTTAAGAGTTGCCGCATGAATGATATTCTTAGCTTTAAGTTTGATTATAGGTCACTTTAAAAATTAAAGCTAAAAACAAAAAATTGTATCTGCTGAATGCAAATTTGTTATACTGCGCGTGGGTCAGAGAGAGAAAACAAATGGTGCGCTGACATCCTCTTAAATTAATGAATACATAGATTATAAAATATTTTAATCGGTTAACAAAATTCAATGTACTATTTACCATATAATAAAGATGAGAAGGTCACAATCCAATATTTTTTTTTCTTTGGACAGCAAAACGACTGATTAATGTTTAAAAATCTATTCAATAAAATAAATATTAAAAAACATTTAACATATTTTATCGAGAAAATTACTACAAAAATAGAATACGGTATAATCGTTTACAATGTAAAGGTGTACTCATCAACTTTACACTGTAATGCACATGTAAACTGTAAAGAAAACTAACTATAACCTGCATTGTTTTTGTATACAATTGTTATTTTATTTACTGTAAACAAAATATTTTAAATGAATAAATTGTTTAACATATAATTCAGGCCAACTCGCCAACTAGGTACCATTAATCTAACACAATACGAATCGTATACTAACAGATATTATCACTAATACTGAAGAATCTACATTCAATACTAACATAATATTATTATAGTCAAGGTTTTTTTTTATGAACTCACTCGATGAACTCGATAGACGTTTGTATACAAATGGGAAAACGATTGACAATATTAGCATTTATGACAAATTAAATCATTATGTATCATTGTTTTCAGAATATGGTTAAACCAATCATAATGAATAGTATTATTATCATCTAATCGTTAAAAAGTAAAATGAATAAGATTAAGACATTGAGATTTATTCAGAAGATAATATTGAATTATATTATATTTATATATTATATATTCAACATAAATAAATCTATGATAAATTTAGTGCAAAAATCAACATAAATTATCTCTAACCTAGATGCAAAACAATGTCTTAACAATTTATTAAATTCAAAATTCAAAATCTGCTAATAATTAATAATAGGTACTTATATACAATATACATACGAACGTAATACAGTATAGCTATTATTCCAAAATGTAATGTATATATATATATATATATATACATTACATTGTACGTGAAATATAATATTAATTGGTTCATAGGTTATAAGTTTATAACGTAAAAATAAATAAATTAATATGTTTTATTTAATGGTAATATTATCAAAACGTAATACAAAATACCCAGAAAGAACGCGTATACCTTATGTATATTATTTTTTTTAATATAATGCCAAATACAAGAGACAAGGGGGACAATGTCTAAATGTAGGTACACATAGAACTACAATTAATAAATATTATATTTAGAGTACAAACATAAATGTGAATAAAAAATATGATAATTATAAAAAAAATTAAATATGTATCTACCGAGTTATCAACCAAAAACTAATCAGTTAATAAACACATGCTTAAAATATAAAACTGCATGATTACATTTAATAAAAAACAAATAAACTATAATTATTTTTAAACAATGCAATTTCATTAAGGGGACGTTACAGTGACATTTGTTGTCTCCGTCTTACAAGTACGTAACAGCAAATTGTACGCTCATCAGATCACGTTTATCTCCGTTAGTTTAAAAATTAGAGTGAATTAACTTCTTACACGATTTAAAGGAAAGATTATTATCTAGGCAATGGCATAGCCTTTTTATTATATTTTAAGTTTAAAGCGAGTTATGAATATCTTAAGATGTACAAACAATTTACAATTTTAAAATACTCTGTAGTTAAGTCACTGTAACATCCTCTTAATACCTACTTTTAATTAAAATTTCTTTCTTTTACTGGTTTATTAAAATTAGAAATTGATAATACTACTGATACATTTCAAAAGGCGATCTAATTTATACTGAATTCATCATAAGAATACCATTGTTCCTTCATTGGGATTAAGTGAAACACAATACCTAGGTACCATAAAACCACATTATATTATATTTAGTAATATCGTAGGTTAAATATATTTAATCTATGGCACAATGCTAGTATTCTATATGTATATAATATATATATATATATATATATATGCTAGTATTATATTATGCCCATGCTAGTATTTATATAACATGAATATATATCATGTTTACTACATTGATCGCACATGACACATATACCCTTGAGAAGAAAACTAAGCACCCATATCCCATACCTACCTAAGTATAATATATATTTATGTTAAAAAAAAACATAAAATAAAACCGTCGACATATTATTGTTATTATCATTATTATCAAATGTAAATTTTTATATTTTTCATAATTATTATTATTTATTTTTATTCAATCATTATTCATAACCCGATGTTTCCGAAGCTCATCTCACGTTTTAATATTCACTCATATCGCTTATTACTATTTATTTTATACATCAAACAATTTTATTTGTATAATCGTGACGATTGTTTACATCTCTTTTGACATTACGTTATATTATTTTATTTTAGATTTTTATTTTGAATTGCTAGTTACATGAGAACATGCAATTTGTTTACACTAGCTATGGTGCAACCAATACAACCTGCAGGAAGTACATGTGACGACCCCTGTCCGGTATCTGCGAAATATATTATTATTTATTATCATCTGCTATTGATAATAATATTATACTATGTATATAATAACAATACCTCTAAACTTTCAAATATCATTATTTGTATTTTTTGTATTATTGTTATTATTATGCAAACGCAAAGTAGGTATTCGTCAATCAAACGAAATTATATTCTTTTATTAATTAATTATTTAATTATTTATTTATCAATCGATTTCGTCATCTGCATGCCTACATACGAGTACGACAATGGTGT